AACACGTTCCGTGCCACGTGTACCATCGATGGTACACGCTTGCATGTTTACTTAGTGAACTGAACAAATTGTTTACAAGAAATTTAGAACCGAAGAATCAATTTCCACCGCAAGAATGGGCGTTGATAAGTTTTTGTTACGTTGTTACGTGTACGAGAATTAATAATTGCACGTAATACATCAAGTTTTAGTAAAATATCAAAGTGTGAAGATTCGAGTAAAAAAAGCTCGGCACGGAACGTGTTAATTATCAGCGGATGTCGCAAACGCGTCAAGATCGGCAGCGGTCCGTGAATTGCTTCGAACGCGTTATCATTTTATATTTCGTTCGAAAGGACACCGTTGCGGCTGCTCCTTCTCGTCGCGCTCTCTAACAACCCTGTTTCGCCTTGTTTCGAGCGGCCGTTCGCGCGACGTTTCCTTGCGAAGGGACAGGGTGGAATCGCGAGAACCATCGCTGTCGCGCATAGAGCGAATCGCGACGGCACTGGCTCCGCGAAATGGATCCGTGGCTTAACCTTAACCCTCTGGCGCTGCCGGAGCGACGGAAAATCCGAGACGGAAGGAACACGCGGAAATTACCCGCCAACGGAAAAAGGTTCGTCGAAGAAGGGTGGCGGCCGTGCGTTGGCGCGGGGTCGGCGCGGGGCGGGCGAACGGAGTCGAGCGGATGGTTCGCGAAAGCTTTTTAGAATGTAATTCCTTCCTTTCTCTACATGTACGTCGCGAGCACCGCCGGTATTTCCCGTGGGGAACTTCAGATTCGAGATTACGATGCAGTTATCTTCCTTTAATCCCCCTGCAGACCCAACCCCGCCCCATCTCCTGCTACTTCTGTAGCTCTTCATTACCGCTACACCTCTCGGGATCCATTCGTGCTTGTTAAGCCATTGCGGCCGATCTTATTGTCCTTCGCTCGATCAAAATTCCATCGTGGACAGATACGAACGTTGTCGCGTCGCGTCGCGAGGCGTCGCTAATTTTCAGCTTTACGATTTTTACGTGCTCGAGCTGGGAAGTTATCCGGTGAGATCGACGAATCGGTTCGGGGAGAGCTCCGGCCAAGCACCGGTTGGGTCGATGTTATCCAACTGGTAAGAGTTAGTTCCGCCGGTTGCGTTCGAGTAATCCATATCGGCCAAGAAAATGACCGAGAGAGAAATTCCTTGGACTCGGGAGAGCCGAGCTTTCGAGTATCTTGGTCGGATGAAACGATTAAATACGATCCCCGTTTTTCTGCCTGCTCCGTCCGGAGATTCGAACGAATCCGAGGTACTCGGAGAGCAACTGTGCGAACCTTGGCACTCGATCGGGCTGAATGTTATGGAAATATTTGCAGGCGTGCAAAGTGGACGGTCCCGGCGATCGATTGGGAAGACGAGCACCGTGATCCGTTTCTCCGCGAGCGCGTTAAAATTCGTCGATACCGGTTGCCGACGACGGTATTCGATTCGGAGATATTAACACTGTGCCGTCCGGTGGCACCACGCTGGTGCCATGCAAAAACTATTTGTTGTACGCCGGTGGTATCACTTTGGTGCCATTTTAAAAAACTGAAATAACATTTGAACCGTATTTCTTGGGTGTTAAAAGGCGGCAAACTAACTATAGCATTGTGCTTATTTAACTAAGAATTAAGTATGAAAATTCTTGGATGACATATCTTAATTTTAGGAATTTATATTACCGCCATCTTCGAAATTGTTTTTAAAATCTAAAATTTCCAAGCTATTATGCCGGCGTCAAACAAAAGAATCATATCCAAGATCTGCGGACGGCATAGTGTTAACACTAAACCTACCGCGGTCAATGTGATCGCTCTCTTATTTTGCAATTCTGCAAAGTTCCGAGACTCTCTCATGGAAAACGCTTGAATAAGTTATATTATTGGAGCAAGTTTTAAAATGAAAACTTTACAAATTCCAAATAAATTCGGTCTTCTCACTTTTGTGAAGCAGTGCATGCCAGTTAGCATTACTGGTTGGTAGGTTTAGTGTTAACGACGGATATTTCCCGTTCGATTATTCGGAAATTATTTCGTTCGAAACGTTAACAACAATGATCGGCAACGCGACGGCGAGGAAAACACGGATCGATTATAGCTCGCCACGATGGCAATTTACTTCGCTGACAGTCTGCGCGATTATTACCGTCATCTTCGAAATTTTTGTTTTAAATCTAAAATTTCCAAGCTATTATGCCGGCGTCAAACGAAAGAATCGTATCTGAAATCTGCGGACGGCATAGTGTTAACGCGATTCGAACGCGAACGATTCGCGCGGTATCAACGATCACCGGTTGCTTCGTCTTCTTCTCTGTCGGAGGTACGTCGCCGAGCCTGCCTGTAGCGACCCGTAAAACAATTGTAAAAGAGCGAACCGCGAGCGGTGGCTGGCGAGAAAGGTCCGGACACCGCGATAGAAAGAAGAAAGATCGCGGTTCGGTACGTCGATCGGAGTTCGAACGTCGCGGAAACGAATGCTGTACGTTGTACAGCTACAAAATTAACATACAGGACGACCCAGCCACCGTTCCCGAGTATCGTTAAAAGCACCGGCGATATTTTGGACGGTCGCGCATAACCGGGACACACCGTGAATACGGTGCGACCTTGTTTCTTGGTTGCTGCGAGCTTTGTGCCAGTTGTGTACCGTAAGTACCGAGATGCCTAGGTGTCCGGAGAGCAAACGCGTTTCATTCTCATTATACCGTTCCAACGAACGAACTCGCGCGAAAACTGTTCGCATCCCGGATCGCGCGCGACTTTTCTCCACGCTTCTCGAACCTCTCTCGTCGAATCTTTTCGCTGGACATTTTTCACCGAGCTCCTCGCATTCCGCGCTACCTTTCTCGAAATTTCGGGGATCGTTCTTTTCGGTACGATCCACGCGAACTTCTAGCGCGACCGTAGAAACTGGGTCGAATCCGAAAATGTTCTCTCTTCGGCACGCGACGTACGTTTCCCCGACGTTGTTGCGACGTTCGCAACGATTTTGCTTCGGTGCGTCGCGAAACGGCTCGGCGATCGTTTCGCCGATCAAATGCTCGCGGATAATGGGAAAAAAGCTCGGCGAAAGGGACGCTGGTTCGTCGTCCACCGTTTAAACCGAACCGCAGCTGGATAGCCGGATTCTTGTTTTACCAGCCGGTAGTCCGAGCAACGACGGACAGACAGCGTCGAGCGGGCGACGCTGACAGTGCCCGTAGATTGGGTGTGACATTAACGATCGATCGCAGAAACGAAGTCAGAAATACGCCGCGCGCGTTCGACGTCGCGGCGCATAAATATAAATCCGCGAGACAATCCGGAGAACAGAGGGAACCGCGAATACCAATAATAACGCGCAACCACCGCCGATGCCTGTCCGCGGCTCCTCTCTCTCTCTCTCTCTCTCTCTTTGTTTCTCTGTGTGTACACACGTGCGTGCGACCACCGCACGAACAATAAGTGAAAATTCCCGAGCCGATAATGTCATCTCTGCGCCTGAATGGCCGACGCGCGCGACGCGACGGCAGCCAACGATGCCGCTAGACCGCTGGCAAACATTTGCGCGAGCCGGACGCGAACGAACGTCGGTCTGGAGATTTCGCGTATCCTATTATCGATGTATGAAAAATTCAGAGGCCTGTCGCTGGGTTTCGAACAGGGACAACGTAAAGTGGACGATGCCTCCCCGATGGGTTCTGTTGCTTTTTCCCGTTGCCGCATCCATCGTTCGAAATAGCGTGTCGCGACAAATACGGAGGGTCTCGAGAAACGATGCTTTTCTCGCGCTACGATACGGAGGGCTCGAAGGAAGATCGGCGTAAGTCGCGCAGCATGTGCAAAAATAGCCGAAATAGTTGCACCGTGCGAAGCAGGTTCGGAACGAAGAAAAATTAATTGCATCGGGCTGCCGCATATAATTTCTTGCTTGCCGCGTCATTTGTTAACTAGAACCAGCTGTTTCACGCGTATTCCCGTAGAACAGGGCGTACATTTAATTACATTTCACCTCGTATCTCCGCGCAAGCTTCGGAGGCGTCGCGGATTTTATAGATAGCTTCGGTCCAGCAGACTGCTGGGAGATTCTACGGCCAGGGAGTTTCAGGATGGATCGAGGTCGCGCGTGGTCCCGCAAATTTTTCCTTCAGCTTCTAAACATCTTTTATACGGTTCAAGCCAACGAAATTGCCGCGACTCGGTTATTTATCGCAGAGTCGTCGTCGAGTGTCCGTAAATTGTTTCAAAGCGAACTCTCTTCGAAGTTTAGTTATCGAATCTATTCTCGCGAAATTGTTCCGCGAGTTTTTCAACAAAATGGACTTTCGATCGCGACTTTGAAATCTTCGTCTCTCGTCGTTCGCTCTTTCTCACTCTCTCTCTCTCTACGCCGTCGCCCTCTCTTCCTCGGTAATCGCGCGGATATTACGAGTGGATTTCGTCGCCGAACAACAGAATTCATCGACGAACGAAAATCTGAATTTCCCGTGCGCGTCGTTAAAAGAGAAGCACCGCGAATCGCTTCGGTTGTTATTTAAAATTAAAGTATTTATCGTCGATCGAACATTGCCGAATAAATTTTGGCATTAAAATATCGGAAACAACGAAATATCTATAGAATCGAAACGTTCGAAGTGAACGATTCGCGGATACGCGAAACGCCTGCATATTTCATTTCGCATCGTTTAAATTTGTCATTCGGAACCGATATTACACGCGTTCGCGGGTGAAATATTTTCACTAAACTTTCCCACTTTATCTTCGACAAATGTCTGCGAAACCGCTTTGATTAATGGTTTCCTCTGCCCGACGGACTCGATCATTTATCGTTATTATCAGAGGAGAAACTCTGTACCTATTTTCATCCGTTTGCCGGCGCGCGAGGGAATTCTCGGTCTCGCGCCACGATACCGCGCGTTCGTATTTCCATGACGGAAAAACTATTTATCCTAACTATTTATCCGCAGCGCGCGATGTAAAAACGTTGTTCGAACGAGTTCGACCGAGATTCGTCCGTGCCCTTCTCGGCCCGGGTCCGATCGAGCTCTCGCCGTACCACCGTGCAGAGCGCGATTCGAAGGCCGAAGCCCGTGTCGAATCCGCGAAGCGAACAAAGTTACGGCCCTCGTCTTAAACGACCGGAGTTCTCCGGTTCCTTGCCACGAGAGACTCGACGAGTCTATTAGCGACAATGATTTCCCGGCAATTAGGGGACTCGATCGACGCGAGAGAAAGGTCTATTAATGCGATTCGATGGCCCCGCTCGGCCGAGAGATGGCGATCTCGATTTGTCCCGTGCCCCCTCGCGATTGGCCGGCGATTTTTCTGGCACCGAATCTAAAATCATTCTCTCTGTTCCTGCTCGTCCCCGGCATCCCGGCATCCCGGCATCCCGGCATCCCAGCACCACCACCCGGCCTACCCTCGCGCGTCTCTCGTCTCTCGTCTCTCGTCTCGCGCTCGTCGCGCGCCTCGCCGAGCCATCGGGCCATCGGGCCAGCGCTCGAAGTGTATTGTGTTCGTCTCGCGCGTTTGCTCCTTCCTTCTTCGCCGTCATCTTCTCTTCCGTTTTCGTTTAGGTCCCTGTACGGTGCTCTAAACTTAGCCGGCGATCGTTCGTCCGCTCGTTCGCTCGTCCGCTCGTTCCCGTTCCCGTTCCCGTTGCCTTCGCCGTTCTCTCGTCCTCCTGTTCTTTTTCTCCGGAGCAGCCAGGTCCCGGTGTCTCCGCGTCTTCCCTCTTCTAGGAGAGTCCACCAGGCAGTTTGCATCTTCCCCGTTCTTTGGGATCCCCGGAGCTACACGCTCGCAGACGCGCGTCCGAACGCTCCGCGAATCCGAGATCTCGCGCGGCTCTTTCTGCGAAACGGGCGAAGCGACCTCGCCGTCCGTCCCAACCGCATCGGGCAGGGTCGGGCTGCCGGCCGAAGAATCCGTCGGTGGTGAGAGTGTCGCGTCGGAGTGAACCGGAGAAGTGATACCGACCGGGCTTCCGGTGTAACGACCGTCTCTCGTTGCGCCCACGCCAGAGGAAAACGGCCAAGACCCGAGCTTCTGCCGCTTGTTGACCGAGTGTCTTCAAGCTGGAGCTGGCAAAGAGGGCTTTCGGCCTGAGGGGGTGAGTACTACTTCTTCTTCTCCGTTGGCCGCGCGATCTCCCTCGTCCTCGTCCTCGCCCTCGTCCTCGCCCTCGCCCTCGCCGTAGCGCTCGACGCCGCTTTTGTCCTCCTTTCTATCCATCGACCTTCCTTCGGCCTTCTCGCGTTTTCTATTTCGCCACTTATTCCACCTGACCGTCTTCCTACGCGGCTCCGTTTCGTCCGATGCTTCAACGTTAGAAAGCTTATTAACCGTATTCGCGATCCCTTTGTCTCCGATGCACCCGACCGATTCATCGCGGCCGCCCGGACGATTCCGGGGTAAATTTAGGGGACCGCGCTTCGACGATCTCGCTCGCGAATTTCTTACGCGTTCGAGAATCGGTCGGAGCAGTTTCCGTTCGGTCTCGACGCGAGCCGGTCGATCTCGACGAATGTTTGCTATCGTCGTTCCACTTTTGTAAATATCAATTTTGTTCGTCCTCTCGTTGGAAACTATCGCGATCGAAACAGTTCCGACGATCGTAACGGTCCAGAAAATGGCGAGAGGGGTCGATCTCGGATTCGCCATAATTTCGAGAATTCTCGTTGCATCCCCTAAGAAACGACGTCCGCGCGCGACCGGCTAACAAATTGCTTCGATTTCGCGGAATTCCTCCGATAGGAACAGCCCTGGTCCTCGATCAGAGTTTTCAGCGTTTGGAAAGAGCGAGGCGACGCGAGGAACGTCCCCGTGGACCCAATAATTTGAGTCGAGCGTGTGCCGCTTCGGTGCTCGAGAATCTCTGGTTTTTCAACGAGTCCGCCATGGCCGGTCCGGCCCTCCACTCGACGACGTCCAGATAAGAGGATAAGGCCGGTGACGGTATCTCGAATAAGGTAAAAAGCGCGACTGGTAGCGGCTTAAAGTATCGTCTTCGCCGACACCGACGCCTACGACGACGACGACGACGACAAAGACAACGACGTTGGTGTCAAAAGAAGAAGGGACTTAGGCCTGCGCCGACCTGCTTGTTGACCGAGTATCTCGAAGGCTAGGCGGTGCACGGCGACGTTGGCTGCCCGAGGGAAGCCCTTTCGTCCCGCAAACGCTTCTTCTTCCTTGGTCGTCGTTCTCCTCGCCTTCTCGCCTCCTCGCCTTCTCGCCTCCTCGTCGTCGCACCCCGTTATCGCCTTCTATCCACTTTGATTTCTTACGTCCCGTAAATTCCCGTAACGGTCCCGCAATATTTATCGTTCCTCTTAGTTCCTTCGATTGCCGCGCGCGTTCCGTCCGACCGTGATTCTTCCGACGTCGGACGGACGAGAATTCGCGGTAATCGGCTCTTCGACCCCTCGCTCTCGAGCTTCGAGTTACCATCGAGTCGAGATATTCTATTTCGATCGAAAAGTTGCATTTGATCCGATGCGATCGCGAGGCGTTCCGGACTTCCGGATGACAGAAACGCGCAAGACACCCGATACACGGCGCTGGCAGATCGCGGCTCGTTTCCCACGGAGGAAACGGTTGTCGCGATAGAGAAGAATGTATCGTTCGGGCGTTTTCGCCCAGACGAATTTTGACGATGAAGAATCGTCGGTGCTCCCGGGCTTTCGTTCACGGTGACAGTCGGCACTGCGTTTTGGCAATTCGCAACGCCAGTTGAATAACGTTCTTGGCAATGCGGCGCAAAGCCGCGTCCCGTCGCGTCGCCTCGCGTCGCCTCGCGTCGCGTTCCGTCGCTTCGGCACGATTTGATTGGCCTCTCCTAAACGTACGCGCGTACATGCACCTCGGTGACCTGTTTCTGACGTCTGTTTCGCGCGGTATTGTCGACGCCGCGTCATGCCGCGCCGCGCCGTTTAGGCGAAAATGCGCGAACCGTTCCTACGGATCGAGGCAACGAGAAACTGCCGAAGCCAGCCGCGAACTTTCGAACGTTAACAATATCGTAATATTGTCTATAAACGGAGCATTCGCGAAGTTTCGATGCGCGCGCGCGCTTGGCGATACAATGTATCAATTTATCGGTCAATTTGCTCGAATGGATCGTTCGCTTTACGATCGATCGGACGTTCGAATATAACGTCCTTAACCCGAGAAAGATAACCTACGTCGCAGAGGCGCCTGCGAAGACTGTTGATTCTTGTTAATTTTTCATAGAGGTCTAGTGATTTAAGTTTAAAATTACTTAAAATATAAAAAAATATAATATAAATGCATTTTATTTTTACGATAATGCCAAACCTTTAAAATGACTAGATTAACTTAAATAAATATCCATTGTTAGTATAAAATTGACGCCTTAGAAAAGCATGCGCCTCTGAAGCGTATGGTT